GGAAGGGAGGGGGAGAGGGAGAGAGAGAGAGAGACAGACAGACAGACAGACATCGATGTGAGAGGGACACATTGATTGGATGGATCCAGCCGGCAACCAAGGTAGGTGCCTTTACGGGATTTGAACATGTGCCCCTTTAGTTCGAGGGCTGACACTAACCACTGAGCCACTGGCTAGGGCTAAAAAAAAAAAATCATATCTTGATGATAATTACTTCAAGCAAGGAACCAATTTTGCAACAATATAACAATCAGGTTAATATAGGAACCTAATCCAAGCTGCAAATAGCATTTTTCTTTTTCTAACGGGCTATTGTATTATACCAAATTATATCTATTCCTTTTCTATGAAAAAGGCTTCTTTTTCTGTGGACTGTCTTATCTAAGTCTAGCTTCCCCCTCAATGACCACACATTTAAATATTGTTAAATATGTTTTTATTGATTTCAGAGAGAGGAAGGGAAAAGAGAGAGAGTTAGAAACATCAATGACGAGAGAGAATAAGGGACTGGCTGCCTCCTGCATACCTCTACTGGAGATCGAGCCTACAGCCCAGCTGGGGATCGAATCGTGACCTTCTGATCCATGGGCCAACACTCAACCACTGAGCCACCCCAGCTGGGCCAAATGACCACACATTTACTAGGTACACAGTTTAACAGTACTGTCTGGTTAAGCAATACTACCAACCTGACCTTAACGATCGTCCATTCATTGTTTCAAGCCAATAGCGATGGCCTCTTGCACACTGCCCAGGTCAAGGAGAGAATTAGGGCAGGGTGGATTCTCATTCTTTGACAGGATAATCTCTGGATAATCTTGAAACCTACTTCGGGGAAAAACAGATGTGGTTCTAAATTGATCCCTCCTCATCTTTCTCAAGTTCTCCCAAAAGCCCAGGTGGGGGCTCTCTTCATGTCCCTCAGAAACAACTGGTCTCGTTAAAGGGGAGTGCAGCTCAAACCCGAAGTTGGCTCCAGTTCTTGCTCTCGTCTAATTCCTTAGCGGTCAAACGAGTTTTGAGGTTGTTTTATCATCTTTTTCAACCTCTGTTCCTCCCTCTGTAAAATGGGGTGAAATCCCGGTCTTGCCCATTTCACAAAGGTATTGTGAGGCTCCAACCAGCTGGTGCATATGCAGGTCTCTAAGCCAGCAAACCACTCCCCCTTCTAAAACCCTCACCCGCATGAAACTCCAGCCCCACAGCCTCGGCTACAGGGACACTGTTTTTGCATCTAACCCAGCTTGCCTTCTTCGTCTAATTGGAATCTATGTTTTAAATCTGTTTTAAGACACAGATTTTGTTTGGTCACATGAAAATGCCTTAAATAGGCAACGCTATAATTAGCTCCGGCTGAAGCCTCATTTCCTCAAGTCACTGCCGCTGCCTGCCGTCATCTTTTTTCTTTCTTTAATAAACCCTTCCCCCCCAAATAAAATAAATAAACGCTTCCTTTCCTTGTCTCAGGACGGGCTTCTTGCTCACATGTCCTTTACAAAGGAAATTTCCCTGGCTGGCTGCCCGCTTCCATTTTAAGTAATTTTTCCTCGACTGTCCCAATTTCTTCTGGACAAAAAAAAAAAAAAAAGGCAGATGCCAAAATTGCTGGTTCATTTCTAAAGAAAACTTGACCCAACCTGCTGTAAAGCTAGCAAGAGGCTTTGGTAGTCACAGGGCTGGGTTCGCCCTCACCCACCGATAAGCACTCAGAGCTGATTCCTGAGCAAACCCCAGCACTTCTGCCTGGTCCGAAGGGTCACGTGAAGCGGCTGCCAAAGTCGGATGGATTTCTCAACGCTATTCCCGCGAATGACGACCCATTTCTAACCCAGGGGCCCCCACCTTCTCTCTTGGCTTTTCGAGTTCTGCAAAACTACAGCACTACTTTTTCTGTTCGTGACGAACACTGATATTATTTCAACAGGAAGTGGTATGGGGGTTCATGCGGCAGGGTGTCTTCCTGTTGCCTGGTTATTTACAACAAAGCAGATTTTCTCTCTCTGAATACTTAAACCATTCGCCAGAGGACTGGCATGTACTCCTTTACGGGTAATAAACAAATACAATTCATAATTCCTAGTCTCAACCCTGTATAATAATTTAACTTATTCAAAGGCCAAAAGAGTTATGGAAATAGAGTCCATACTAAATCCCCACACCACAAGAATAAAAAAGGGTCCGGCCCTAGCTGGTTCGGCTCAGTGGATAGAGTGTTGGCCTGGGGACTGAAGGGTCCTGGGTTTGATTCTGATCAAGGGCACATGCCCAGGTTGTGGGCTCAATCCCTAGTCAGGGGTGTGCAGGAGGCAGCTGATCAATGATTCTCTCTTATCATTGATGTTTCTATCTCTCTTTCATCCTTCCTCTCTGAAACCAATAAAAATATATTTAAAACAAACAAAAAAAAGAGTCCTGGCTGGGTAGCTCAGTTAGAGCATTACCTAATAAGCTAAGGTTGCAGGTTCGATCCCCTGTCAGTACACATACAAGAGTCAACCAGTGAATGCATGGGTAAGTGAAACAACAAACTCAAGTTTCTTTCTCTCCCTTCCTCTCTCTCTCAAACCAACAATAAAAATAAAAAATATTAAAAAAAAAATAAATAGAACTTAGATCATTCACAGAATCAAAAATCTTAGAACCAATGGGACCAAGGGGCCAGGCAACCTTTGGTTAATCAGAAAGGTTTCTTTCAACGCTGGAAAGAAAAATGATTCCTTTCTCCTTATTTGCCCTTAGAAATTTAGTGCCAGAAAAATGGATTAGGATCAATGTCAGATGTGCCGTGAATCACAAGAACATTGTGACTCTAGTTTAGCACTGAGCATAGCGTCAACACTGAATACCCTCCCACCGCCAGATGCCCTCGATGTGCCTGCAGCATATGCCAAGTGGGTGCAAAGAAGCAGAAAGGTAAAGCTGGGCCCATAAAGCCTGACAGACTCTCTGAATTTAGCCATACTATCTTCCCAAGTGACTTATTCATCAGATACGTACGAGACAACATCAAGCTCACACTACTATTTTGTGTAAAACTCACTTAAATTTTATTTTTGTTAATCCTCACCCGAGGACATTTTTCCATTGATTTTTAGAGACTGAAAGAGAGAAGGAGAGACACAGAGAGAGAAACATCGATGTGAGAGAGACACATCAGTTGGTTGCCTCCTGCACAATCCCGACCAGAGCTGAGAATGGAGCCTGCAAACCAGGTATGTGCCCTTGACTGGAATTGAACCCGGGACCCTTCAGTCCACGGGCTGACGCTCTATCTACTGAGCCAAACTGGCTAGGGCTACTTAAATTTTTTTAACTTGTCTCGATAAACCACTTGGATTTAACCCATTGATTCTATTCTTACATAGTGTTACCCTTGGTCTTCTTCCCAGGCAGATCCTAAGTAGGTTAAATACCTTAGATGTTAATCCAAGATATCTTGGACATGAGTTAAAAACACTTTACATACATACCTGGCCTATCAAAAAATTGGCTTAATTCTCTGGTATTCTACCAGATTTCTTCATACTTGGCTGTGAGATTCTGTACAAATGGACCAAATAAACTAACTTAGAAGAAAAACAGGTTACTAGGTACACAGCGGTCCTCCCCCAGGCTGTAAATCAGACTAAGCCACACGTAAATGAAACATTCGGAAAGGGAAGCGACAGCCACAGAGTCAGATGGAAAAACATCTTGAAAGAAGGGGAAGAAAGAGCTTCAGCTTGAGGTTCTTATAAAGAGAAGACAGCACTGATCTTTCCCGCAGGCCTGGAGATGGGCCGTTCTCCGTACCCCTTCCCCCTGGATGGGCCAAAGAGCCCACTCCTCAACAGGAGTAACATATTCCCTCCTAGGCATGCAACACCCTCGCTTTTAGGAAGTCTTGCCCCTCGATTATTTTATCACCTGCAACGCTGCAAGGGATCGTCATCCCATCTCCGGGATAGCATGTCGATAGGAATGAGCCTACACCGAGAGAGCTGCTAGTCCTCACCACCCACACCATCACAGATCTGCCTAAAACCCCAGTTCCCTTTTTTCCTCCCCCCAATCCCCACATGCTTCTGAGAGAACCAGATCCGGGCCAATGGCTGGCATGGAAACCAGAGGGGAGGGAGCGGGGCGCTGGAGGAGGATGGATGAACTTGTCAGCGGTGGGTAGGGGTATGCATCAAGCTTAGCCTTGAGGTCAGGAGGTGAGGAAAGGCAGACTTCCGAATCCTGGCCTCTACTTTGGGGAAAGCCGGAGCAGGAAGGGGCTTTTCGCCCATCAGAGGCTCCCAGAGGGTGCCCACCTGTGCCCACGCAGAGCACTTCCCTCTAGCTTAAGCGCCCACAGCGGTCAAGGAGCTCCACTCCCACCAGCACATAAAGAGGGGACCCATCAGTCACTCGGGGGGTCCCACCAAGACCAAGGGGCCATCCAGCTGACCTGCTACGCTCCAAGGGGCAGCCCCATAAGCCAGGGCGTTCAGACCTGCCCCCCAGTCCCATCCCTGGACCTCCCCGGAGTCTGGGACACGCAGGGGGCCCCCTCCCTGCCCGCGCGCACGGTGCGCGCCGCCTACCCGGAGTTCGCCCTCGGTGCGGTGCAATCCCAGACGTCGCAGCCCCACGGCCAGGTCGTTGACACACAGGCCGCCGTCGCGGTTGACGTCGAGCGTCTGGAAGAGACTCCACAGACGCAGCCTGTGGTCTGGGCCCCCGCAGACGGCACCGCCGCACGGGTCCACAGACGCCGGCGACGAGGCGGACGAGGCGGCGGCGGCGGCGTCCGGCGGCGGGGAAGCCACGCAGCGGCACAAGACACTGCTCACCATCGGGCGCGAGGCAGGGGCGCCGGGCGGCGAGGAGAACGCAGAAGACACGCGGGTATCCTCAGACTACGGGCGCGGGTTCCGAGATGCCGGCAAACGGGCGGGAGGGGCGGCTTCCGGGAGCCCCGCCTCTCTGGCCACGCCCCTAGCTCGCCGCCGACTAGTCACAGGCCGGCACTACCACCCGGAGGGGCGGGACCTCTCCAAGGACTGCCCACATCGTCCTTGCCGGCCTGGATCAATAGAGTGGGCGGGGCGATTCCGGCTCAGCCTGGGGCCGATTCAAACTGAGGGAGGCAGGGATTGGCTGAACCGGGCCAAACAGAGGAAATCGTGCCGCTATAGGCAGAAGTCATGTGATTGGCAGGCGGGAGGTCCCGCGTCCAGTTTCCATTGAGTAACTCTGGACTTCAGAATCGTAAGGATGGGAGGAGAGGTCGTGTCTTCGGTGGGAAATAGGATTTGTGTGAGGAGTAATTGTGAGCTGCATTTCAAACCAGTTTGCGCCCGTGGGTGGAATTCTAAATTAATTGGCCAACGGCTCAAGCTGAAAGCACTAGGGATCCGCAGAAGGCCGGGTTTTGATAATCTAGCTCCCTAAACCAATAAAATAGCTGAATTTAATAGGATAATATTCGTAATACTGCTGATTGAACGACAACAAATTTCCAATGGAAGTTAATAAAGACTCAGTGATCGGAGCACTCTATAGCGACAGGCATACCTTTAGACCAATGATCAAGTCGATCCCGGTAAGTGGGCGTGCTCTGTAGCTGAGCGACAGGTTCCAAGAACCAGTGAGTGTCCTGATACTGAGCCGCGACCAACCGGGAGGGCGGGTTCCCCCGGAGCAGCGCTGGGAGGCGGGAGGAAGGGAAGTGGGCGGATCTCCGCACACCCGAGCGGAAGAGGCAGATTCAGGAAGCCATTACGCCGCTGGCTGGCAGCGGCTGGGCCGGTCGGCGCCGGGCCCTACGCACTTTGCGTAACGGAGGGGTTACCAAAGGCCTGGTACTTGGCCTTGGCCAACTCGGCCTATCCCATGTAGGGGGGTGTGCGAGGGGCGAGGCCGAGGAAGAAGAGAAGGGAAATTGGGCGGTTGAAGGGATTATAATTTCTTTAAAAAGAAGGGTAGGGAGAGGCCATGGCCGTCCCAGCCAAGAAGAGGAAGATGAACTTCTCGGAGCGAGAGGTGGAGATCATCGTGGAGGAGCTGGAGCTGAAGAAGCACCTGCTGGTGAACCACTTCAACGCCGGGGTCCCGCTGGCTGCCAAGAGCGCGGCCTGGCACGGCATCCTGAGGAGGGTGAACGCCGTGGCCACCTGCCGCAGGGAGCTGCCCGAGGTCAAGAAGAAGTGGTCTGATCTCAAGACTGAGGTCCGTCGCAAGGTTGCCCAAGTTCGGGCGGCTGTGGAGGGTGGCGAGGCCCCAGGGCCCAATGAGGAAGATGGAGCTGGCGGGCCAGGGCCAGGTGGTGGCAGTAGTGGCGGTGGCCCAGCGGTAGCCCCCGTCCTGCTCACCCCCATGCAACAGCGCATCTGCAATCTGCTGGGTGAGGCCACCATCATCAGCCTGCCCAGTGCCACAGAGATCCACCCTGTGGCCCTTGGACCCACGGCTACTGCAGCCGCAGCCACGGTCACCCTGACACAGAGTGAGTGACCTCTCCTGCCCAGTCCAGCGTGCATAAATGGGAAGGGCAGCCTGGGGAAGGTTGACTGTAAAGGGTCAAAGGTCAGATAGGAGTCTTGGAAGACCATGAGACCTTCCAAGAGCTCCGCAGACAGAAATGATCTTGCTCTCTCTGGGACTTCCTCAGCACACAGTCTGGGCTTCTGATGAGCTGGATTGCTCTCAAGTGCGTTTTGCCACCCTTCGTGTCCATGACTGAACTGTGCGGTCCTTGCAGACAAAGACCATGTTTTTATCCTCACAGGACTTGCCACAGGGCCTGGCACCTACGAAGCAGTCAGAATGTGTTTGTTCAATGAGTAGATAGGTGGGAATGGCCATGCCCAAGCCAAACATGGATTCTGGACAGAGAGACAGTCTGGGTTTTCGGTGTGGCAAACGTTCGTCAGGCACAGTGGAGGAACCTCATGGTTCCTGGTGTTGATCTACTCATTCATTCACTCATCAAACATTAGCATTTATTCTGTGCCAAACCCTGTGCTTGGCACTGGGATTACCAAGGTGTGTCAGACAGAGCCCAATTATAATCTAGTAGCACAGATAAGACATAACTGAGTAGCTGCAGTGTCAGTTGGGAGAACATAAGAACTCAGAGGAGAAGGGGGGGCTTCTTGATTGGTGGAGACACACAGTTGATGTTGGCATTGAAGGGTGGAGAAGATTCACCCTTCCTCTACGCAGGGAGGCCCAAACAGCCCACCTAGAATCCTTCCGAAGGCTCTCAGCTGAAGAACAATGGAAGTGGCTTGGGTTGAACTTTGTAGTTCAGATAAGGGTTTGCACTGGGATCCGTGAACTGCCTCTTTGTGCTAGGTTATACACTACACTGATCAGATCAGTGATTCTCAGTGGGGCTTTGGGAATTGGGTATATGTGAGTGCCGTCCCCTGCAGTGTCATATTTCTCAAGGGTATTGAGGTAGGAAAGAGGATCCGACACTGGCCTAAATCAATTGCTATTCTGGAACAGTAAGAACTCTTAGGTATTCCATTGACCAACGTGATCAGAAGACAGAGAGGCATTTATTGGACACTTTGCCAGTCCCCTCCCATCTCCTTTTCCACTTGGCCATAAGAGACTAGCAGTCAAGAAGGAACTGAAGGAGGTAGGACTAGTGTAGCTACAAACAGCTCATGTAGAGGTTCCCACTCCAGATGCCTGCTGTGTACCGGTGCCACGGGGAACATGTGACCATGCCTTTATTAGCAGAAGCAGCCGAGTGGGGTGGAATTGAGCACTGTGGACTCTGGTGCTGGGGAGACCTGGGTTTGTTTCCTGCACCTGCTGAGCAAGCTGTGTGACTTTAGGCAAGTCACTCCATGTTTCTGAGTCTGTTCATTCTCATCTCTGAAAATGAATATGACAGGACTTACCTCTTGATGTCATGAGGATTTGTTGAGCAAATGAGTGCAAAAGGCTTAGTACAGTGCCTGGCACATAGCAGGTACTCTAAATTTTTTGCTAGCATCATTATTAGCATCTTTGCTTTTGCCATATCTGGGACTGACCCTTTGGTTACCAAATAGATTAAGATTCTAAACCTGGTACGTTCTAGATTTAGTTAGGTATATATATATATAGCTATACAGCCAGAGGAGGCCTGAATTCCCCAGAATAGGGCTTAATATGGCCCATCCCACATAACCAGCTTTCCTCTTTCTAGAAAGCGACCTGACACTGCCTTTGCTCTGTCCACAGTCCCCACAGAGACCACCTACCACACGCTGGAGGAGGGGGTGGTTGAGTACTGCACCGCTGAGGCGCCCCCGCCCCTGCCAGCGGAGACCCCTGTGGAGATGATCGCCCAGCATGCTGACCCCTCAGTCAAGCCACAGGCCCTCAAGAGCCGCATCGCCCTCAACTCAGCCAAGCTGATCCAGGAGCAGCGGGTCACCAACCTGCACGTGAAGGAGATCGCCCAGCACCTGGAGCAGCAGAACGACCTGCTGCAGATGATCCGCCGCTCACAGGAGGTGCAGGCCTGCGCCCAGGAGCGCCAGGCTCAGGCCATGGAGGGCACGCAGGCGGCCCTGAGCGTGCTCATCCAAATCCTCCGGCCCATGATCAAAGATTTCCGCCGCTACCTGCAGAGCAACACATCCAACCCTGCCCCCGCCTCTGACCCTGGACAGATGGCCCCGAATGGACAGCCGGACAGCATCATCCCGTGAGGGGAGGGGTCGAGCCAGCCTTCTGCTGTGATTGGATGACACCAGGTGGTCTGTAAGTGGGTTCTGTAACTGGCCTTTGGCTAGGGCCGGCCTCACGGACAGCTCCCTCTTTAATAGGCACACAGGAGGTCCACCATTTCTGAGATAGAAAGGAGACTGGGAAGAGGAACTTGTTGGGGTCCTGAGATCCAAACTCTTACCCCCACCACTGGAGCTGCCTTGTTAAGAACCTTGTTAAGACTGGTTAGCTGGGGGTCAGGCACTGGGGGGGTGGGACATGTGTTGCCATGAGCCTGGGCTCTTGACATGACCCAGACGCGACCTGGGACCCTTGTAAGGAAGGCTGTCCCTGGGGAATGATCACACAGCCCTGGTTCTGTGCTCAAGTGCCCCACCCTCAGGTACCATCTTTTCAGTAAGATATTGGCAGTGGTGCTGGCAGCAGCACAGTGATATCTTCTCCCTCCCTCGGGAGGCAGAGTGACAGAGAAACCCCACCCTTTCCTCCTCACTGCGCCTCTGTTCTCAGGGGACTCTAACGCCATGCTCTTCCCCACCCACTCTGCACAGCAGGGGCCTTTGGTAGTGCCCTGGGCTGCCTCTGCGACACACCTAGGATACGTCCACGGGCTCAGGAACGCTGTGTGGTGGGGATGGCTTGGCCGCCATCTGGTCTTCCACGGCGTCCAGGAGAGCCCTTTAGTGGTTTGTCCCAGGAGCTCTTGACTCAGCTCAAGCATCAGGCTTTGGGTGCTGTAAAGTTTAGAGAAAGCAACCCAGTGCGGACATTGTTGCCCCGCTGCAGTGGGTCTGTGGTGACCTGTAGGCTCCTTCCAGAAGGTCTGCTTCCAGCCAGCTCTGTTTATTCTGTCCATGAACCCCTCCTGGGAAGACCTTCAGGATCTCTGGGGGCCACTCTGGCCACGCCCTTCCTTCTTTCCTCTCTCCTGACTGTACATTTCCAAAACCCTGCAAGCAAACCTCTCAGCATCACACCCTGGACTCCCTTCACACTCTATTCAGAGCCTTGAGTTCTTTTGAGAACCCCAGTGGCAGGCTGGGCGAACCCGCAGGCCTGGTTGGCCCTGAATGTGTGAGGTGGGAGCATTGCTGACCTAGGATGCGGGACCTTTGATGTTTGTGCTTCGGCAGAGCAGACAGACCTCGGAGTCCTGAAGGAGGTGGTGTTCCCTGTTCTGCCTTCTCCCGTTTGTAAGGAGTTTACCCAGATGGCATTTGTCTGTTTCATTTTCAGAATGAAATCTGTTGAATCGATTACTGAGACCTTGCATTTTTTTCCAGATCATTTCCCAAGTGTGCCATCTTGCTGCTGGTGCCTTGACCACACATGACTGATGGTTACAACTCAAGGCTCCAGATAAACTACGAAGGTGCTGCCCTTCTGGGCATGTGCATTCAGAATTGCTCGGCTCCACTGTTGCAGTCCCAGGAAGGTGCCCCCACAGGCAGTTGGGAGGTGACTCCTGTGCCACCAGCCTCTCCGTGGAGGACATGCAGGGCCAGCTACAGAGCAATGGAGAGGCATCGGGCCTGTGAGGGGGTTGGGTGGTGGAAGAAAAGCTCTTCTCAGTGTGGCTGGAAAGCAGTAGCCCCTGGCAACCTGGGCACCCTCCCTCCCAGGAGCCTGAGGGCCCCAGCAGGGTAGTTGTGGGGACTGCCTGAGGATTTTTTATTTTGGTTTGGTTTTTCTCTGGGGTTAGCAACCTGAGCCAATATTGTGTCTGTTCCAATTGGGTATAAAGAGGAAAGCCTGGATCACTTAAACTGACTGGTTCATTCCAGGTCATAATTTTAAATTAAAGAAATATCACTTTTTTTTTTAAATACCCATGTCTGTGTCTTTATTGGTTATGTATAGGAGAGATATGTGCTGGCAGAAAGCAGGGCCTGGCATACCATGGCCCACAGGTCAAATCTGGCCCCTACCTGTCTTTGTAAATAAAGTTTTATTAGAACACAGTCACACCCCCTTCACTTATTATATGTCTTTGGCTGTTTCTGTGCTGCAGTAGCAGAGTCGAGCAGTTGTGACAGGCTTTTGACCCACAACGCCCAAGTTTTTACTCTCTGGCCCTGTACAGAAAGCCGGCCCACTCCTGGTGTCGGGCAGTTGAGACACGGAATGAGAATTGCTCAAGGTGTTTGCCTACCATACCCAACCTTGGCTTCGTCCCAAACCCGGAAGAGACTCCTGGAGAGAGAGCTCTAAGAATATTCATGGTACATAAGCTCTCTGGGTGATTTTGATGTTTCCTGGAGATTAAGAAGTTTGGCTCAGAGAATGGAGGAGTTAAACTCAGCTGACATGGGAATCGTGCCCCAGGGAGAGCTGCTTCTCAGGAGTTTCTCCAAGCAGAGATTCTCCAATGGTCTAGAGAGTCTTTTCTGGAGATTACAATGGAAGTTTTGTCACAAATGGTTTGAGTCAGTTTACAATCACCCTTTTCTCTCCCTCTCGCTCCCTTCCACTCTCTCTAAAAACCAATGGAAAGACTATCCTCGGGTGAGGATTAACAAAAAACAAACAAAAAAAAAGGAGAGAAAGAGAAGGGCAATTTAACAGAATTAAACCTGCCAGATCTTGGTGTTGGTGAAGAAGTGTCACTTATATTGCTGAAATGTGGAGTTTGACATTGTTAAAGAGAAAATTACAGGCCCAAAATGGCGTCACTTTTGCTAAGGGCCCATGATACAAAGCTAGACTTAATACCTGATCTAACGGCAGTTTCAACCTCTCCCAGAAATGTAATCTTAAGCAATCTAGAATGTTCTGGTCAAGCATGGGTAAGATCATCTGTCACCTGGGCCCTCTCCATTCCCCGCAGCCACCCAGAAAGAAGAGGCAGCCTGCCTGATAAAAACCCTGCCCTTCCCTTCCCCCAAAGATGTTCTGGTCTGGAAATAATCCTTTCTTTTCTTTTGTTACTCGCTCCCTTGCCTCCGCCTGGTTTCTATAAAAACCTCCTCTTGTGTACAACCCCTTGGAGCACCCTTCTAGTTGCTAGGTGGGATGCCGCCCTCCTCATGAATCACTCAGTAAAACCAACTAGATCTCCAAATGTATTTACTCAGTTGAATTGGGCTTTTTAATAACGTAAAAGAAAATCCTCTAAGCCACTGAAGCTTGCTATTTCAAGCATTGAAACCTTTTACATTTCAAACTACTTTGATGGACGTCTTTCAAAAAGATGTCCTTTGTGAACTGTATTTGACCCAGCGGCTTCTCATTCAACAGAGTTTGCACAACAGGCCTGAGAGGCAGTGCTGCCTCGTGGGGAGCTAGTGGGCTCAGGCAGGTTTGAGCTTGAGATAGGCTCCACCTATTATTCACTCTCTCAACATTTCGGGGCCCCAGTTTTCTCGACTCCAAAATGAGGATGATGGATAACTACCTACCTGCCGGGGTACAGAAGCACTATGAGGGCTGGATAGAAATAGGTCCCATTTATCGAGCGATTGCTACGTCCATAGCAGGTGTGCAGTAACTACTGGCCGCTCTCCTCACGACTCCAGTGGCTGATACTCCAGGGAGGAAATAGGAGTCTTTTCTGGAGATCACAATGGGAGCTTTGTCACAAGTGGTTTGCGTAAGATTACAAAAGCTGTGACCCAGGAAGTAGAGGGTGCGGGGGCCCAGGGAACAGAGACTGGGATTCAAGGCCGCCTGGGGCATGGGAGCCAGGCCAGTACAGGGAAGAGCTGGACACTGGGAGGCTCTTGCTACAAGTGCTCTTTAAAAATATTATATATATATATTTTAATTGATTTCAGAGAAGAAGGGAGAGGGAGAAAGAGATAGAAAATCAATGATGAGAGAGAATCATTGATCGGCTGCCCCCTGCCCACCCTCCACTGGGGATCGGGACCACAACCCAGGCATGTGCCCCTGAGCGGAATCGAACCCAGGACACGCTCTATCCACTGAGCCAAACTGGCTAGGGCCAAAAAGTGGTGATTGAGCAAGTTGTCAGAAGCTGACCTGCCACCTGCCAGCAGTCCATTAAGACAATAAGCCTCCACTGGGGATCGGGCCCACAACTCAGGCATGTGCCCCTGAGCGGAATCGAACCCAGGACACGCTCTATCCACTGAGCCAAACTGGCTAGGGCCAAAAAGTGGTGAGTTGAGCAAGTTGTCAGAAGCTGACCTGCCACCTGCCAGCAGTCCATTAAGACAATAAGCCAAGCCTGGCCAGTGTTGCTCAGTGGTTGAGCATCCACCCATGAACCAGGAAGTCACAGTTTGATTCCCAGTCAGGGCACATGCCCAGGTTGTGGGCTCGATCCCCAGGAGGGGGCGCACAGGAGGCAGCAGATCAATGATTTTCTCTCATCATTGATATTTCTTTCTCTCTCTCTGAAATCAATATAAACATAACTTTTTTAAAAAGACACTAAGCCAAAATGAGAGTAGCAGACAGGCCTGTGATCACTGACTGTGATGCCATAAGCAAGAGGAGAAAGTGCCAGCTCCCCCAGTGTCCACGTCCCCACGGCACAGCGCCAGGCAAGGGCCAGCGGGTGGGGAGTCACTGCTGAGGGAACCCCCAACAAAACATGCCTGCTGTTTTCTGGACTTGGGTGCGTGTTGGGGGTGAGGAGCGGGGAAGGGCTAGGAGTGGAAAAGTACTGAGTGATGAGTCAGAGCAAAGTCTCCCCACGGCTCCCAATAAGTAGGTCTTGGCAAAGGGACCTGGGGAAGGCTTTGCAGGGAGGCACCTGGGCTAGGAATGCAGCTGTGAATACGAGCTTGGCCAGCCACGGGCCTCCTCCTGGACTGCAGCTCCCCTCCGAGACTGCAGAGCCCCGGCTGGGCCCCAAGGCTGTGTGGAGGGGGCAGTGCCCCGCTGTGAGGCCTGTCCTGTAAAACCTCTGTAGCGGCCTATGGCCTATGGCCGGGCCTGAAAGATCACATGTAGGTTTGTGCCAGGAGCTGGACTTCTCACAAGTGCGTGCCAGGTCTTTGGAGTCGGCCGGCTTCTTACTTCCTGGCTGTGTCCATGGCATGGGGGTCACATAATTTCCCCAAGCCTTGGCTTCCTCATCTAGGAATCCCTCTCCAGTGAGGCCGATGAGAGAAGTGAAGTCAGTGCCTACAGAACACTTAGCACGGGGCTTGGAAATCTCTCTGAAAAGACTGCCTGAGCCTGGAGAAATTCTAGACAGTTGGTGGAAAGTGGCCAGGGGGTTGCTAAGAGGAACAGGCAGGGACACACCCACTCTTAGGTCAGAGCTGATGAGCTAAACTTGGTAGGACGGTTACAAAGGGGGATGTGGTTCGGAAATGGCCCCCAGCATACGCTGGTGCTGGAATGTGCCAGTTCTCGCCAACTCAGTTCACTTTCTCCGCCCCACTTCTTCCCCCGGCCAACCCCTGGGCAGCCCTCAGGGCATCACTTCCTCAAAGCCTCTCCCAACCACCCGCCAGCCCGGGTAGGCCCTCCCCTGTGGGGCACTCACACGGCTGCTCGAACCGTGTCTCCCTCTCATCCCACGTGGACTTGCTTGGTTTTTAACTGATCCCCTCACTGGGAGCTGCGTGGCTTCAGTGACCTCTAGCCCAGCTCTGTGAATGGCATCTTCATTCCCCAGTTGCCCACGCCTGAAGCCCACTGTCTCACCCCCACCTCCACATCCACTAGTTGTTAAGACTCCTCCGTCTGCCCTAGTTGGTTTGGCTCAGTGGATATAGAGCATCAGCCTGCGGACTGAAGGGTCCTGGGTTCGATTCCGGTCAAGGGCACATGCCAGCGTTGTCTAGCAGGGGGCGTGCAGGAGGCAGCTGATCAATGATTCTCTCTCATCATTGATGTTTCTATCTTTCTCTTCCTCTCCCTTCCTCTCTGAAATCAATTTTAAAATATACATTAAAAAATAAGACTCCCCCTCCTGATATCCCTCAAATCGCTCCCCACTCAGTTCCTTCTTCCCCTAGTCCAATCTCACCCCCTCTCTCGCCTGGGTCACCCACAGCAGCCCCCTCACTGGCCTTGCCTGCCCCCAGGCCCTTCTGAGGGAGGTCTTCAGGCCCCACTCCCTATTGCATCCCTGGAGGGGGAGGTGTTACTGGCATCTAATCTCTTGACTCAAAGCTATTGAAAATGGAAGTAGCTTCAATGGGTTCTTTTTCAAAATTTAGGGGCAGTGCCAAATTTCCCTTGCCTCCTGATTGGTGGACTGGAGGGCGTCCTCATGCCCCCAGTGACTTCCCTTATGTCTCAGGGTGAAGAATAGGCTTTTGAACGTGACCTATAGAGGCCTTTCATTCTTCCCACCTTGTTCTCTGGTCAGTCACACAGAAAGTTTACTTCCTTGTCGATTATATCAATAAAACTGGAGAAAATTTCCCAAAAAAGGAAAAAAAATAATAAAGTTTACTTTCTTAAAGATGTCAGGCTCTTTTTCTACCCTCCAAACCTTTGCCTGTGCAGTTCCCCGTACTGAGAACAACTTTCTTCCTCATCACTTTCCTAACTCTTATTAATCCTTCACATCAGCTTGGGCACCACTTCCTCCAGGAAGCCCTCTTGGATCACGCCCTGTGTTTCCTCTCTCACGTGTTCATCACACCCTACTGTAATCACATTTAAATGCCTGGATCCTGCTATAGGAGGGTTTCTCAGCCTCAGCGCAAGAATCCTCTGGAGCTGGATCATTCCTTGTCATGGGGGCAGTTGTAGGATGGTTAGGAGAATGGCTGACCTCTATACACTGGATACCAGGAACACTTCCCCCTCTAGTTGTGATGATCAGAAATGTATTCAGACATTGCCTATTGCCCCCTGGAGGTGGGTATAATCTCCCCCAGTGAAGAACAAATG